ATTTTAAGGCTGTGTATTTTTTTTCCTTGCATAATTCTCCTTCACAGGTCTTGTTGGTTGGTTATTTAATGCATTCTGGTATCTGCAAGAATATGACTACAACTCCGTTGACTCCTGATGGGATATACTGTGTATGTCTAAACCTCCTTTTGCTCTGCTTGAAAACTCATCCCCGAATGTCTGTGTGTAACAGGATATGTTTATTTATAAAACAAAAGCAAAGAAGGATGTTTTGTCTTAATGGCCCTTGAGACTGAAGAACTGGGAGAGGTTTTTTGTTTTCAATGCGTTTTCCTCTTGTGCTGCACTGAGTGTAGATGCAGGACTGACTTTTTTTTTTCCCTGTAAGGTTTAGATGAGGATTACCCGTATGACTAAGCGCTGCAGATGTTTACAGGTTGTGGCATGGGGCCTTACGCAGTTAAATCTCTTGAACGTGAGAGAAGGTCATGCTCAGACTGGGCAAGAGGAGGTCTGGTGACTTGTGGGCAAAGCCTTGCAGCAGGTATTGCTTTGGTAATTAACCTATCTCTTAATACAATGTGGAAATAGTGACCGTGCCTGGTAAAATAAATCAGATAGTTCTGAGCTGGCCAGTGTTTTCTGTTTTGAGGTAGCTTTGAGGAGACTTGCCAAAAAGTGGATTTATTTGTGCCTGGGATTAGGCTTCTCATGCTGTACTGCACCAGGGCATTAATGAGGTGGGTAAACTTAATGAGGACCAGAGCTCCCTTTTAGTCAAGCGCAGTGATGAGTGTCTTCAAATTCAGTGGATGCGGGAGCCTGGTGACTGCAGCAGCGTGGCCAAGCGACTGTGGTTCCCACTAATTCCCTTGAAGTTGTGTGGCTGAGGGCTTCTCAGTTAACGATGATGGATGTTGCAGTGGTGTTGGTGTGGGAGAAGAGAAGGGAGATTTGGGTCTTGGCTTTCTTCAGGCTGCTAGATTATTTAATAACGAGTCCAAAAATGGTATGAGTAAAAGGTGAATAGACTTGGAAATGGGATATTCCAGGTGGATGGTGCCCTACAAGAGCAATTTTTAAGTCTTAAAGGTCTGTAGTCTTTATAGATGAACATCAAGCTTTTTCCCCTTAGCAATATTGCAGATGTGGAGTTAAAAAATACTTTGTGCTCTCCACCTTTGGCAGAAAGGATCACAGACTGAGGGTGCTTGTACCACTTAGTCAAAGCTGAGCACTACAAGGTGTGCCAGAAAACCATTTTAAAACGGCCTCTTAGAACTCAAATTTTCTCTATCAGCATTTCTACTTGGTCCCACAGCAACAGCAGCGTACTGGGGCTATGCAGTCCTGCGTGAAGCCATTCCCGGTGTCCCAAGCTTAACGAACACCTCGTTGCAAGAGAAGCATCCCTGGAAATGGAAGTATGAATTTTCCTTCCAAAGCAAGGAACTGCAGTCATTGCACAGATGGCAGAAAGATGACAAAAAGACAAGTTTGCATGGATTTTTTTTTTCCAATTTCTGCAGTGCAGAAGGTGTAGGATTTATTATTAAACCAGAGCAACCCAAAGATCTCTCTCTTAGGTAATGTCCCACAGGAGTTTAACCTGGAGACCTCTCAGTTGCCTAAAAAGGCCACGTTTTGCTTGAAGATGGGCATGGCTGCAGGCTCCGTGGGGGCCTAATGCTGTTCCTTGGAGGCATTTTGGTTCCCATGGGCAGGCAGGTGCTCAGCCATCTCCAGGAAAGCAGGGCTCCATCACACATAACAGTGACTTGGGAAGACAAATGCCACTACTCCAAAGGTCTCCCCTTTCCTTCTTCTTCCCCCAGCTTTATATACTGAGTCTGACGTCATATGGTCTGGAATAGCCCTTGGGCCAGTTGGGGTCAGCTGTCCTGGCTGTGCCCCCTCCCAGCTTCTTGGGCACCTGCAGAGCAGGGGAAGCTGAAAAGTCCTTGACTGCTGTAAGCACTGCTTAGCAACAACTAAACCATCAGTGTGTTATCAACATTCTTCTCATACTAAATGCAAACCACAGCAGGATGGCAAAGCAAAAATATTTTGTGTCTGTGACTGAACAACCAAAGAGGATCTTAAGAAACAGAATTTTATATATGATTAAATACCAACTTTAATGGTGTATATTCTTTCCAGAGCCACTTAATTGAGGCAAATGGGACAAAGAGCAAACTACTAGAAAGTAATCATCTCCAAGTTTGTTAATATCTCACAGGAAATATTGAGGGTATGAAACATGGGCATTTTTTTTTTTTTTTTCCCTGGGGTTTCTCCTTACTCTCCGACCCGGTTTTAAGGGTTTATTTCTTTATTTCGGTTAATTTATTCCGCGTGGTTCACGCGGTTTTGTCCCAGCAGCAAGCCGGGGGCTGCACAGCTCTTCCCAGCTGTGCTTGAGGGCACCCAGGGCTCTCGGCCCAGTCAGCCCCAGAGGAATCCTCACCTGGGCCTGCGCTTGGGTTTTGCACCTTAAAACCCCTTTCAGGATTTAGGTGTGGTTTTCCCACGGTGTTTACTGACAACAGCTCCTGCAGGTGGGAAGCAAGCGGGGTGGGTCACCTGTACTCGCCAGGCTGCCTGTATCGGGGCACGGTGCGCGCTGCCCAGAACGGCGTTATTCTGTTGACACGACTCGCGTTGCAATTAAACATTAAATTGATGCTGTAACATCTTGTGCATCTCCCACCCCGCTTCTCTAGCTTGCGTTTAAACAACCTCTTCATCAAATGCAGCTCCTCCGTCGTTCCTCAGCACCCGGGCTTGGGATTTTTGGTTGTTGAGGGTTTTGCCGCCGTTGTTCAAGGAGGGTGAAGAATGGATTCTCTGGACCACATGCTCACAGACCCCCTGGAGCTGGGACCCTGCGGGGACGGAAATGGCACGCGTATCATGGAGGACTGCATGCTGGGCAGCACCAGGGTTAGCCTGCCTGAGGACCTTCTGGAGGACGTGAGTAGCGCTGAGATGATTTACCTTCTCAGAGCCTCGATAGCCAGTATGTCTAACACCCTTCGTGGGGCTTACAGAGCAGAAGAGGGGAAATGTTTTTGACCATCCTGGAAAAGGTGTCTAAAAGGGCTGTGATTAATCTCGGGAAACGGGCTTTTTAAACCGTTCTGTTATGTTCTTTTCTTAGGTAACAGCCTCTCTTTATTTTAAAAATGCCTTTGAGAAAGTTTTGTTTGTTATAAGCTTTGAATTTAATCTCTTGTCGCCAACAGCATCGCTAATTTCCTCCCCTTTCCTCTTTATGCTCTCATTTTCTACATTTGGTGAGACGCTGTCTCGTGACTTGTGTTACTTAACGACAGAAGGCCTTAAGGGCTAGCAAATTGTCAAGGACATGGATGCCTTTTCTTCACTGTGGTTTTTTGCTTTCTTTAGCCCGAGATCTTCTTTGAAGTTGTCAGCCTGTCTACCTGGCAGGAGGTGCTGACAGATGCTCAGCAAGACCACCTAAAAAAATTCCTGCCTCACTTCCCGGAAAACAACCGAGAGCATCAGAACAAACTCATCTCTGCATTGTTCAGCGGTGAAAACTTCCGTTTTGGAAATCCACTGCACATTGCCCAGAAACTCTTCCGGGGTCAGTAAGCCCAATAAACTTTGGTGTGTTTTCTGGGTTAAGTTCTCAATTAGCGGTTGATGGAAACTCAGGTGGTTTTTTACCTCTTTCTTACAGATGGACACTTCAATCCTGAAGTCGTCAAATACCGGCAGCTCTGTTTTAAGTCCCAGTACAAACGCTACCTGAGCTCTCAGCAGCAGTACTTCTACCGACTGCTCAAGCAGATCCTCGCTTCCCGCAACGTGAGTGTGTCTTCGGGGCGCGGTCATCATCGCCTTCTTGCGTTCTGTAACAAATAGGGTGTCTTGACAACATGCTGTCTTGGTATTTGTGCAGTCCCAATTCTTGGGGTTTTTTTCCTTTAATGAATGGTGCTTTTTGGGTTTTCCAGTGGCCCCTGTAGTGTGAGAACACTAGTAACGCTGCTGTGTTTGCAAATGTCAGGTGTTGAGACGCTCATAGCTCTCGCTTGTGTGTAGCATCTTTTTTTCCATGCTCACTTTGTTCCCTGTTCCCTGCATTTGCCCCTTTATGCCTTACTGTCCTGTTAACAAGTCATTCCGCCTTCGTTTTCTACCATTTCTGTCATTGCAAAATAAGTAAGGCTGCTAAATACGTAGTTCTTTGAATTCCCCAGCTTCACTGGGGTACAGAATAGATACTGGGGTATAGAGTAGAATCATAGAACCGTTTAGGTTGAAAAAGCCCTTTAAGATCATCAAATCCAACCGTTCCCCTACCCCTGCCATCCCACCCCCAAACCCTGTCCCTAAGCACCTCATCTGCCCGGCTTTTAAATCCCCCCAGGGGTGGGGACTCCACCACCTCCCTGGGCAGCCCCTTCCAGTGCCTGACAACCCTGGCAGGGAAGGAATTTTTCCTAATATGCAACCTAGACCTGCCCTGGCACAACTTCAGACCATAGATATGAAACTGTGATGCCTGTAAATCCCCGATGAAGTCTTGCTCTATGGATACTGTTGTCAGCTAATTGCTGCCAACTGAAACGTGTTCGATGCAAATACTTGCTCGCTTACCATTTCGTTATGCTTAGGCGTTGAAACATGTGGGATGTATGGATGAAGATGAACGTCTGTCTTTGTAAAACGCCCCATAACAGTACAGGAAAAAAGACTACAGAAGTGTGTAGGAAGCTTATTTCCTCTGTAGCCATAAAGAGTAAAATATTTTCTTCAAAAGAGACTGTTTTGCATGTTTGAGTTATGTATTTGGTGTGGAAACTGCACAAATCGATCTCAGATCAATTGTTAGGTTCCTCTCAGCAGCCCGCATAAAATGACAGGTACTGTATGTGGAGATGAAGGTGCAGAAATGTCTTACTTGATCTCTCCTTGCTTTCCCCCGCTTTAAATGGTAGTCTGAAATGCTGGTTTTAAAGTTGGGTGTATGGTGGATACTGATATGTTGTAAGGGTTACTTTATAAAGAACTGAGGTGCAGCTGGTGTCACACGTATCTCATCTTCCAGTACTTGCTGGATTTAGCGAGGAAAGGAGGCCCTGATATGACCCTGAGGAGGAAGCACTTCTCGACGACGTACGACACAGAAGAAAGAGACAGACGGACACATCGGCGCTACCTGAAGATTCTGAGGGAAGTGAAAGAGGAGTGTGGAGATACTACCTTGTCTTCTGATGAAGAAGGTAACGCCCTGGGCTGAACTAGAGACTTGAGGTGCAACTGGAGAAAGACAAATTTTTGATGTGGGGACAGTGTCTTTGATAGAAGAATGGAAACTGAACTCCAGTTTTATTGGCTGTGACCTAATGAACATGGGGTAATAGACTTATGTAGATCAGTGCTAGGTCTTGCAGAAATAAATGTATGTATTTATTTTAGATTTAAGCTCCTGGCCTCCAAGTTCTCCAGCACGTTGTCCGAGTCCACCCATTCCCCTGAGAGTGATCCCCACATTGTCAACCTCAGACATGAAAACAGCAGGTGAGAACGAAACTAGGGGTCGGTACGGATTTAGGGGTGAGAATTACTTTGAGACCCTCCAAGAAATCGGTTTGAAAATCTGTTGTTTGGTAGGAAGTCTTGTAATGCTTCATTTTTGCAGTCTCCAAAACAGTTGGCTCTTCTCCCAGTTTATTTAATCTTTTTCTCCTTGGAAGGCTCATGTTTTAACACAAGGGTTTACAGTTTGTGTAATAATACTGATTTCTCTGTTACGCTTTGCCTTTAATGGTTGAAGCATTGGTATAGTCCAGTTCAAAATACTTTGGAGTATGTGCCGAGGGAATCCCTCCTAAGGTTGCTGTAATCAAGTCTGCAAACCCTTCGTGCAGTACAGCTGGTTCTCACTGCTTTTCACTTCCGTACTTGCATCAGCAATGAAATCTGATGACCCAAGGTAGAAAGTATTGAAATAAATTGGTTGATGAGAAGAACGAAATTCAAATAAGGAAAATTTACTTACTGAAATTT